CAGCCGTTAGTGACAATTGTTAGTGGCAGGCGTTAGTGACAGGCGATAGTGACAGGCATTAGTGACAGGCGTTAGTGACAGGCTTTGGTAACAGGCGTTAGTGACAGGTGTTGGTGACAGACGTTGGGTAAATGTTCTACCTGTATAGACCATATATTTACAAATGTTTCAGACCAGTGCTTAAAGGCCGTTTCAGCAGCAATTGGTTGCAGTGACCATAACATTATAGGGGTCACAAGGAAAACAAAACCTCAAGGTGGCAGAAGAGTAATCCACAGAAGATCATGTAAATATTTCAATCAGGAGCAGTATATCAATGACATTCAAGCTGCTGACTGGTCAGGAGTGTGCACTGATGTTAACCCAGACTCAGCTCTAAACAGATTTATGGAAATATTAATGAAAATTGTTGATAAAGATGCCCCATTTGTCATGATCTGGCCTGTTTGCTGCTCCTTAATTAGTAATTTCTTTCACTTGTCATTTTCCCTCCCTGCCTCAATTATAATTTATTCTTGTCACCTGTTTCTTTGGGGTTAAATGCTGTTCAGCCTGAGCATTTGGGTCCAGATCATTATTTGTCTTTCTGTTAGCCTGTCTGTTAGTTTTATTCCTTGGTTCATGTCCTGGATCCTGGCGGCCAGTGGAAAGAGGTTTTAGTGTTTGTCTCGTCTCCTGATTGTCCACTGTTCCTCCCCCGTGGAGTCCTCTGGGTTTTTGGCTCTATATGTGGGGAGGTTAAGTTTTTATTTCACTAAACCTGGCTCCAGGGAGGAGACCAGTTTAAAGTCCTGCATCAAGTTCTGGTTCCACGTCTTGTCTCGGCTACCCTCTTCAACTGAGCCTGCTCATCTGCACATGATCCTGTCTGCTCCTGTGCGTTACCATCTGGCCACGCTTCAGAACTCTGTCAAACTCCGAACCTGTCTTGGAGCCTCTTTTTGCCTGGAAGCCTGGATCCTGCCACCTCTTCTGTTCCTGCTTGATCTGCATCCTGTTCTGTCCGTTCCTGCCTGATCTGTATCCTGTTCTGTCCGTTCCTGCCTGATCTGTATCCTGTTCTGTCCGTTCCTGCCTGATCTGTATCCCTGATCAGGATCAGCTTCCTGCAAC